TTATTTTTTCAGACTAATCTATTGCGTAAATCAGTGAAGACTCAGACAAGCAGTGACTTGTGCTCAACGTGGCCAGATAACTAGTGAAAGCAAATATGCGAGCCAACTAATATGACAGGGTGGAGGTGGAACAATTTTGCTAGCTTGACATCAAGCACAATCTAATTTACTTGACACATCACATCTGATAACTGACTTCAGGCATTTTTCCAATGTGATCTTCTTCAAGCTAGCTCCACTGAGATCTGTCCCTGATGAGGTAATTTTACTTTAATTTTTAAGCTAAAAAATAAAGATTCCACATGCAGGAAAATTCCCCAATGATTACTATTTCTTTATTAAAAATACATTCTATATTAAATATATTAATATCTATTTCTTTATTGTTACAGATCTGAAATGCAAACCCATTTTGTCTTGTTTGCTATTCACGTCCACTGCACACAAAGGGATATGAAAAACACTAAAGGAACATCTTGCATAGTTTGAGCACAATTTCTTTGTAGTTGATAAATGCAAACTCTTTCATATAGTATAGTGCATGGCTTTTAGCAGTTGTGAAGGTATCCTCAATCAAATATTGAGCATCTAAGAGAAAAACATGACTGAAAAATATACACCTCAGTTCCCTACAGCTGTATTCTTTTTGTTCCTGTAATGTGCTGTTTTCTCCAAAAACATTCCAAAACAAGCATTAAGGTTGTGTGTTTGCATAAAGCATACTAAAAGCTTTGCAATTATTCTGCTGCTCTGTTCTCAAACCTATAATTTGACAGTTTCAAGTATTTCCTGAATAATGTCTCCTAAACTTTCCAAAACACAAACCACTGAATTGAACAACAAATGATTAATAGGCTAGTCACTAGTGCAAACACACACACACACATATATAATGGGCACAGGGTTATTTGTAGAGAAGATGCATGTATTATTATTATTATTTTATTTTATAAAATTTTCCTACATTGAAACACTGAATTGTTGGTCACTTTAATTAGGCATTATTTGTCTTAAAAGGTATACTACCATTGTCTATGTGTTTTTAAGGCTTAGCTGGTTGACCTTTCAAGTGCACCAACCTTATATAAAGCACTAATTTAGAGGTTCTGAGAGCTGGCTAATTAATAGCTCCTTAAAGACAAAGATTTAAGTCTTTGGTGGAACACTAGGGCACTCAGCAGCCATCATGGGAGGCCAATGTCAGCTCAGAGAGAGAAAAGTCAAGCCATTATTACTCCAAGGAATATGAGCCTGTTTTATGGGAAAAATACCAAAAACTTTTAAGTATCTTTGCACACTATGGCTTACACTGTTAATTGTTATATATATGAGATCTATAGTGAAGTGTTATCGTATGTCTGTGCTGCCTTGCCGTGCATGCATGTTAGTGCATGCAAGTTTCTCAGAGAGCGACTAAAATAGCTGTTTTCCTCATCTACGTCTGTGAATTAAGGATTTATTTCGACCAAACCACAGTTGGTGATTGTTGGAACAGAGGAAAGACTAGCAAAGACGGTTTTGGCGATTTCTGGTCTGACTGTTTCTGGTTAAAAAAAGGTCTGTCTCTGCCGGTTTGTAGGGATCTTTTCCTTAATGTTGTCAGATACTTAAATCGCCAAAAATCTGAGCCTTTCAGTGGCAAAAACAGTGGACTTACTTTGTCAGGCACATTTGGATAATCCCCAATGATTAACCACGCCTGTTTCACATTTTCAATATTTTCACATCTAATAAAGGATTCATTTCTACCAAACCAGTGTTGGTGGTTGTTGGAATGACTGTGAAAAGACTAACAGATGGTTTTGCCATCTTTTTATTTTGTTTATGTCCAGGTTGAAGTATGTTTTATAATTATCTGTGAGGTAAAATTATGATGAGATTATGAGATGCTGAGGTTAGGGTTAGTGTGGCATCTAGTAGCAGTAAATTACGTGTATACAACCTTTAAAGGCATTTAGGAACTGGAAAGAATAGTTGTCGCTCATTTCTCCCCAGATCTACTGTATGTAACTGTATGTGCATTTTTAACTAATACTTCTGTATGTAAATGCAGATTGTACTAGAATCAGCTGGAAAAGGTTATATTTAATGAATTAAAAATTATTTTGAAAATGCATGCAATGTCACATGTTAGGGGTTTTTGAGGGGGCATTTTACACTTGGATTTAGGTTACTGCTTACCACCAAATTTACATCAATCATTGGAGCCAGAAAATTCAGATTTTGATCAAAGGAGAGGAAGTGTGGGTGAACCCTGTGCTGTATTGCAATGCTTAAAAGGTCTATAAATGTAAATAGAGGCCATGAACCTGTAGATGATGTCACAGATAAGGGGTTGTTCTAGGTTACACCAGCAAGATGAATGTTTGGATGTCCGCACCTGGTTAGCGTGGAATAAATCACCTGTAATCGCCACACAATGCATGGCAGTTACAGTTCTGTTGGACCTGCACCTGACTTGCTGTGGTGTCACATGGGGACATCGATAGCCTCACAGCATCAAGGTGGCTGCAGTTTTTAGAGCGAAGAGCTACATTTGTGGTCCACCGAGACACACAGTTGGATGTTTTTTGGAGTCATTAGGAGAACCTGCCGCTCAGGGCACTTGTGCAATGGCTTCACCCCTAAGGTGGCTGCTACTTAATATACGCATACATACTATGAACACATGTATAATACACACAAAGCTGGATAAATGGAACAAAGTTCTAATGGCTCAGCTTTCTCAAGCCCTAAAAAATTACCACAAATCTACCGACTCCTCCCAAAACAATGCTCTATTGTTACAAGGGTCTACTCAGCGGCTGTCAGGCCTACCTATCCAAATCTGTAACAAAAGAGAGAGTGTATGTGTGTATGTGTGTGTGTGTGTGTGTGTGTATGTGCGCAGGTGTGGGAACAAAAGGAGCTGGCACAAGGTGCATGTACAATGTAGAGCTCACAGCTGATGTAAAGGGTCAGCCCAATCCTTCCTCCCCATGTGACCAACCGGGTCTTGCCTTCTTATGAGGATTCCTTTGTTTGCTTTTAGGTTGTGAGCTCAGATCGTCAGCAGCAACACAATAACACATACGTCACAGCTGTCTACAGAAAGCAAGGCTGTGTGTTGTCCAGAACTCCATGTTCCTTTCTCTCCCACCCTTTTCTGAATGACACATGGCCTTATTATTAGACTACTTTGTGATGTTGTGGTTAAAAGCATTTTTTAAAAAGCATGTTAAGAATGTCCTTCATGAAAAAAACTGACAGACTGAACTTAAGTGTCCATGAGAAAAGCCGGATCAAATTCTTTTAAAGATAAGAAAGTCTTAGTGCTGGTCTTTCTCCTGTAGCCTTGGAAACATAGGACCTGCACCTGGAACAGCAATAGATGATTCATGATGCTGGTGCCACCAAGTGACTTTTTTCTCTCAGTCCAGTCATTTTTTATATTATTTTTTGGGTATAAGTAAATATGTTTTATAAAAATGATATTGAAACACCACAGGCAGTTGCTTTAATCCACTCTTTTACTCATCTCTTGTGTAATCCTCCTCTACATTCTGAAAATGTTACTGAACTTGGATCAATTCAGATTTCATTCAGTGCTTTCTTGTTTTTTTTTCTCCTGCCTTTTCTTTGCCACCATAACTGTTGCCAAGCATTCTGCTTGCTACCACTCAGAAACAGTATATTATTATTATTATATTTTCAATGTCTTAATGTAATCAGAGGCTGATTAACACAGCACAGACTGACGTATCATTTCTGCATTATTAGGGATCAAAACAGAAGACATTGAGAGAAATAACAATAGTGATTACAGGCACGACAACAACAAAATGTCCCTTATTCATAACATGTCTAGACAGCATTACACAGTATGGACTTGCCCTCGTCTTTTGAAGGGCTTACATCACAACATAAATACTGCTTCAGAGCACATATTTGTTTTCTGCAAGTAAATTCTACTATAGCTGCACTGGAAATATCTTGGTATGCCATCATAGGATCTGTTTTGCCCACAGTTTGCTGAAGGGATATTTTGAAGACATTTATCAACAGATAATATCAAATCTTATTTATATGTAAAATAGTTTTTCATTTTGGGAGATATGCTTGGAACTAGAAAACAATAGAAACAGGGTGAAACAGCATTGTAAAAGCAGCAAGTTGTGGTTTTCAGGTGGATTATGTGCTGAACTAATTTTCAGCCAGGTGCAATGACTTTGTCGAGCCTTTTCGTCACTATGTGGTTGTCAGGCAAGAAGTAACTGCACCCAGCTACGAAATACTCCAGCACATAACCCCCATAAAACCACAATGTTGTCTTCACACTTCGTTTTTTGTTTTGATTGAACTGATATATGAGATATATTATTGTTACCTCTGGAGAGGGTGAAGCTTGCTGTTTCGCCCTATTTCCAGTCTTTATGCTAAGCAGTGCTATGCTAAGCTGTCTACTGGTTGTAGTTTTTACTTATTGAGACACGAGAGGTATCAATCTTTTTATCAGACTTTTGTCAAGAAGGCGAATAAGTGTATTTCACAAAATGTACTGGTAACAGAAAGTTCACTACAAATGCTTACAAATGTCAGGAATTTCTTTCATGGTGATGGCTGCTATTGGTTCTCCCATTTTTGAGAGTTGCATGAAAGCGGTATTGCCAGATCTTTTTTAAATATTTTGTACATTTATATACTCCTGAGTATGTCTGAGTATCTAGCTAAGAACGGCACATTTATTCCTCATACACTGTACAGCAACATGCAGTATTAGCCACTAAAAACATCATTACATAAAGCAGTAAGAGGCGATGGATTGGATATCAAGGCTATACAAAAACGAGCCAAACTTTGTGCACTCACAAGGATGTAGGTGAGGAAAAAGGCTTCTGAAAAGGTATTTAACACAAAAGGCATATAAAAGGGATGTGCATATCTTCCAACCTTTATTTGTAGTTGCTTTCACAGTGTTGCAGCGCTTTTAAATGTTTGTGATAAAGAGAGACTGTACTCACTGTAGAGGATGGTGCCCTGTGTAGATCTCGTTTTCACTGTCAAATAGAGAATAACGGTGGTGTCCTTGACAGTAGCAGGTAGATTATTACTGGCACCAGAAGGCTGGAGAAGGGATGAAAGAGGCTGCAGCTCCAAATAAGATGTTCCATCAAATGAGGGGATATATACTGTGGTATCTAGAAACAAAAGTAAATAAATAAATAATTTAATTAATTAATACAAACTGATTAAATGCATTTAAATGGAGTGAGAAAATTAGAGTACAATCCTAATATTCATTGTTTACACATGTAAACTTGTACTTATTACACTTATATATAAATAAAGAATGACCTATCTAGTAAAAGCAATGTCTTACAGTGCTTTTGTTAGTTGACAGAACAGCGAGAATTGGCTGGTGTGTGCCTTCGCAGCACTGATAGCTTGCTTGTAAGCAGAGTCAGCAGGGCCCTGTCAGGACTATGCGCTAGTGTGTTATTTCCCACTGGATGAAAAAGGGGTATGACTTTAAGGAAAGGTGGAGGAGGCACCAGCTCAGGTCATCAACTCCACAAGCCAGTGATGATCTGTTGGCTTTTACACAAAGGACACTGTACACCTGGTGGATAGCTTGCTGTTCAGGTGCATGACAGACAATTCAAAATAGGCCACCCAGGCCTCAACTCAGGGGATCCTACCTTCAGAGTCCAGCTCTCTGGAAAACTGCAGTTTATACTCAGCCGAGAACTCACAACATACAGCTATTACAGCGTTCCAAAAACTATTTTTTATTAGACGTAAGAGAAATATTAATATCCTCTCATGACTCTTGTGTTCACTTTTTTGGTGCTTTGACGCTGGATCAAATGGATTTATTAGGCAGACCTGTGAATGACAACATTCAGAACAGACTAGAAAGTAAAAGACAAGCATTACAAAGAATACTGACAAATTTGTTAAGGATGTAACATATAATGTATGGTCAAAGTTGAAAGTTTCCATGGCTTAACAGTGGCAATGGTAGCGATTTAACTGAGGTGCAATCAGTGTCAAATGCAGGAAAAACATACTCAAGTAACGTTTATGCGGCACATGAATGTCACAATTCAGTGTATAGGTTCATATACTCTGTTTGTGTGAAATCAGGTTAAGCCTTACTAAAATGTAAAATAGCCTATCGAATCAATGCACACCATTATTACCATGTATATATTTTTGTAATTCACTGCTAAACTGCTTTATCTGTGACTCAGACCATACTGGTGGACAGTGGTGCAATCAGTTTATTTACGGCAGCAGGGATAACGCAATTCCTGTGTATAAGTCATTCACGTCAACAGCCTTTTCTGAAAATGGCTGTAAGGAGGCTATAAAAAGAAGCCCAGTTATATAGCAAGTGAAATTGCCGGGTTTGACAAGGACTGCTCAGTGGCCTTGGTCCAGCTTAATGATCAGTTACCAGACCAAAACACCTGAGAAGAGCTTCTTGTCATATAATTTTCCAATGGTCATAATCTTGTTCACCTGTGTGCTCTGCCACTTTCCAACTCTTGTTCTTTTCCTGACCAATCACAGTGGATGACTCTTCTGAGTTGCGCAGAGAATTATGTGGAGCAGACATGAAAGCCAATACTTTAAATTACAAAGAGAACATAAAAACTGTTTCTCTCGTTGTGGAAGGAGCAGTTTCCTTCGGTTGAAAATGATGAATCAATCCTGTAATGGTTGTTGGCAATTTCTAAGTAAGGCAGATTGAGCTGGCTCATTTTTAAAGGCACCAGCAATTACAGCAAACACACACTAGATGCCCACAAAAAGAGCTGGCAGCACCGAGCCAGTGTGTTGGCAAAGCAGGAAGCCGACAACCCCTCATCAGGTCCCATTAATGTCAAACACTGAAAACAGAAAGGCTCAACCCGCTTAAAATGTCTTCTTTGTTTCCTTTTTTTAAAAATTATTTTTTGTTCTTCCTCACTACATTTACAAGAAAGATTCTCTTCGGTCCTAATCTGTGAAAATATTACCTGCAACTGGGGAGAATTTATATTTATAACTTTGGATTTTTGTGAAATTACACACATCAAATTTAATCACAGTCAATTAAGTACCTCATGATGTTATTTTGCTGTTGAATATTGTTAACAATAAAAAATATTTTTATGGTTCCAAAAGAATATGGGTAATTGGTGGGTTTAAATTATAGGTAAAATGTCAAAAGAAAATTTAGAAGCAACTCATTTGAAAAAGCCAACTTTTGAAATAGTTTACACCGAAACAAAACAGCACTTTAAATGAGAAGAAAAGAGTGCACAGTCTTTTTTGGATTGATGTCGTGGTTAAAAAAAGTTGTTGAAAAGACATAAATGGGACAAAACTGTGTCCTCAACTTTCATTTTATTATTGCTCTCTGGCCAACATCCTACATCACAGCTTTAAATGTGTGAGAAGTAAGGACATAATGTAATGAGCCATAGAAGGAGGTCATGATCAATACAGACCAAGTCTGAATAATTTCCTGCCTCACTGGTTTTCTCTTTTTTGCCTACTTCCTTACCTTGCAGCCATTTACTCTGTAGCCAATTTTTGTGATCACTTAGCTTTCAATTGAATGCTTACATACTTAACAGAATGTCTCTGGCACGGTCTACGACCTACTGTGTCTTCTTTAAAGAGACAATTTATCACATCTTAAAGCTCTGAAATACCTAGATGAACTGGCTTTATCTTGACAAAACCTGTCTTATGGTTGGCTACTTGATATCAAATACTCACTAAACCACCAGGCACTGGCCTGGATTATGGTACACACGACCAGAGATGCAGCCCCAGAGTCCAAACATAAGACAGCAAGACTCATAGTTCCCACATGTCAGGCTTGAAGCTTCTTATGCACGGGCCACACAAAAGAAAACTACTAAATCTCACTGGGAAGTAAGTCTGAAAGCTGCTTTGGATTGCCATTCTTCGTATGCTAAAAAGAAAAAAAAAACCTATATAATTGTAGTGATTTAGCTGGTATGGTGATAAATTGGAAGTGTGCAGGCATTTTGTGTGTAATATTACCTGAGAAAGGCATGTAAATCTCTCCCAGTGTGACATGATTTTGATAGTATGACACCTGACATTTTAACTGCAATGGGGAATTTGAAGCTTTACTGGGCATTACAATATGAATATGTCAATCCCTGTTGTAGTCTTAATCCATCACTGAGTAGTGACTGTAGGATCCTCTGGTCGAAGAGATAGAGGAAGTACTCAGATGCTTTACTTTGGTAGAAGTAGGTATACCACAATGTAAAAAAAATACTCTAGTACTGTGAGTACTGTTTTTTTTAAGGTTTGTTCTATTATATATACAGTATTATTAATATTTATGATGCATTAAATGCTGTTTAAATGCTGTAGCTGATCAAGGCAGAACTAATTTTAAGTAGTTTATATACTGCAACAAATATAATATGCACTTTTACAACACTGGCATTCAAAAAACTGTGACACTGGGATCGTCAAGCAAATTTGTGATCCGTGATTGTGCCAAAAAACCCTAACCCTGACTCAACTTGACAAAGTCGCCAATCATAATAGTTTCACGTACAGTCACGCCGTCCACGTTCTTTATATCACATTAAGTCAAATGATCAACTTTTAGGCTACATTAAAGAGCATGTATTTCTAAGAAAAATTACATAAGTAGCAGATTACTCACTCTTGAAGATTCATAGGCATTGGGATAATTCTCTTTGTTAAATACTGTATGACATGTCAGCATTTCATCTAGGACACAAGTCCATGTCATTAGTCACTGGGTAGGATGGCAAATCTATAATTAACTGAGAGCAGGGGTGACTTGCTTTATTCTTCTCTTGTGTCTATTCTTAATTCAACAAGATGTGAGGACAAGGTTGTCACCCAGCAAAGTTGCCATAGCAAAACACATCCACAGACTTTGTCAGCATATAAACAGCCTCCGGACTCCGTCTGCGGGCTATCAGAACTAGTGTTGCAAAGCACATCGTTGGATGAGTGCTCATATGAGATTGCTAAACCTGAGAGACTGAACTGCTTTTTGAGGAGTAGCAATTCCTCAAACTCAGCAGAAATGACTCTTAAAGGCCACTGCTGGTATTTAAAGTAAAAGTTTATGTGTGACAAGTTGAGGGATAAGCAGGAGCATATTTTATGGCCATAGAGGGTAAATCCCACTTTTTTTTTTAAATCAGAAAAAAAGTTTAAAAATACATTATCAAATCAAGCTTAACATCTGATTCATTTCACAGGTATGGTGGTGGGAATTTGCTGTATATATTGTGTTATTATGTATCATTACATTACATATTCTGGTTGTAATGCATATTTGGGTTATCAAGGTTAAAGTCCAATTAGCAAGGTTAGCCTTAAGCTTGCACATTGTCACACAGGCAATATGTCCATGCAACTGGTTATTATGCTGCAGTCTCATGATATTTTGCACACTAGTAATTACTCTTCCCTGAACCTGAAAGCTACAATGGTGAGAAATACATGAATGAATAAAAGAGTCAATGAATCGATGAATGATTCATATTCTTTATCCTCTACTAGCTGTTTAGAAGTTGGCCGACGCATCTTATAATAATAATTGGCTCGGAAAAGCAGCATCTCTGTCATGTAAGCAGAGGGGGGTACCGCTTTTACTCAACGTAGCTGTCTCCCATGGGAAAAACAAATGAGAGTGAACTCTTAAAAATAGCATCATTTTTGTTACAGTGCCTGGAGAGACAAATAACATTTCAGTAGATTACTTAAACACCTGTAAATTAGCATTTTTGGAACACATGGCAGAGGTGTCAAATAAAGGTGTCAGGTGCACACAGGCTGCTCAAGCCATGTCAAATGACTGTTAACTTTAACTGTGAGTGGCAGATTTTCATATATTCTGTAAATACAAGGTTATGTTATCAGCCAAAATCATGCTCAGGCGTTGTGAAGGTGACGATCAATCCAGCTTTCATGATTGAAACTCTTTGTAATGCTAATGTTTTTTCGCTTACAATATTCCCCAGTCTTAAAGTGTACAGCACATATGACATTTGGTGACTACTGTTATCCAAAGCTTCTTATATGAACCCCATGACTGAAGGCATTATTAGTGCAATGCTTGATAGGTTGCAGAGGAGGGGAAAAGTGCAACAGATAAGGCTTTCTGCTCTCAAACGTGGCACAGGGTATAGTTTACAGTGATAACAGTGGCAAACTTTAAATCAAAAGTTATTTTTGAAACAATTAACTTTATTACTCAAAATTATTTTCTAGCCCATGAATGTGGGTTTTGCTTGCTAGCTAATTAAGCTTATGTTACTTTAATGAGATGGTTGAAAACGTTGTGTCCGGCTTTCTTTTCAGTGTCTTTTGTTGACTTGTTTTAAAACACAAATCATGTGAAACCATGTCCTAATTCAGAACTTAATGGCTAGAAACAGCTTTTTACTGTAGTGTGAAGCTAATTTGTCCCTGCACGGTTGAGGAGCAATGTAAGATCAGACTGTTACTGTACTTTATTGTAACATAACCCCATTTAGGGGCCTTTGGTTAAATATTTATTTGCGTTTTCAAACTATTTTATTCACTGGACAACTTTGGCTGGGGTAGTGAAACTTCCCTTAATCTATTAAAGAGCCGAATAGACCCGCTAATATTACTCTAAACTCTAGTAGCTTCCACTATAAGTTTTGACATTGTAATACACAGTGGATGTGCTAGCTATGAACAGGGCTGTGTATTTTTTTCAACATAATAAGCAGTGCCTGAAATGGACCAGTACTGACCAGTACTGAGTACCAGCACTTCTGATTTTTGCCCACTTCAGTACCCTTACTTCTTATTGAGCACTCAGATGAGCATGGCTGTACCCACCACAGAGGAGTAGAAAATAAAAGCAGTGAAATAACTGTATAAAAATAACTACTCTGATTCTTTCAGCCCCCTGCTGAATCAAGATACTAGCACCTTTTCTGGTCCAATTCAGGCACTGGTTGTCACAGACATTCACACACATCCACACATGCATACATTACTGATTATTTACGTCCACTGTTTTCTCCTTCTTTATCATTTTTTTTGTAAATAAATATGCTTGCTCGCACCTTGTTAACTCGTCCGGTCTCCCATCTTTGTCTGGGATGTGACACCCGACAAACTAACCTAAACTAGCCTAAGCCTACTAACGACTGTAGCATAGATTTGAGCAGATAAACACAACTTAATCCATTCCTTACACTTTTGCTTTTGTGTTTTTTAATACCATAGTTGATTTAACTCATGTAATTGTAATAAAAATGTAATTACGATCATATACTATAGCTAGTGCAGGGGACTGAATATCATAACACACTATCTGAAATGTCTCCCACTTGTAAGCAGCTTGGCTTGCCTTATCAAGCACACATGCAATTAATTCTCAACTCCAGTGTTACTGCTTCTGTCTCTGACAGAGAATGACTACAACAGCAAAATACAGGATGCTGTTTTCTACACTGTCAGAGGACATCATGCATGGCAAGAGAGGCAGAAAGGGATGTCAGTTGCTACATCACAAGTGCACTGAGAAGAAATGTGCGAAGGAAATACTCCTTAGTATGTGTGTCTAGTACTGCTGTCTCCTTAATATTAGTGTTGGACTGGTTGGTAGAAAATAAATATTTTTGGTGGGGTTTTGGTTTGTTGAGCGAGTGCTGCAAGGTCATCTTCTCATTCTCAGTAAGTGTTGGAGGTGAACATGGACACACAGCGATGGTTCAAGCTGCTTATATGGATCTTTCATTTCATTAATCATATCCTGAATAATTCACATCACTCAAAATTCCTATTGCAGCTGACTCTATTCTCCCTCATAGTGAAACCTATTAGCCAAAGAGGCTCAGCATATATTAACCAACATAATTTGTTGGCTGGCTCTTGATGATACCACTGTGGAGGTCATGGTACAGTACGTTTTTAAGCTTTTTACTGCTGTGTGTGTGTGTGTGTGTGTGTGTGTGTTATAAAAACTGGGAAACACTGTCAGCTAAAAACAAAAAAATTCCAGGCTTACCTTTCTCACAAAAAGTTCCAGTAAAATGAAGCGGGCAGTGACAGGAAGGCAGAGCTCCACCAGGCAGCTGCAGCGGATGACATGTTCCTCCGTTGTGGCAGAAACCGTCACGGCAAACGTGAGGTTCACGCAGAGGATGTTTTGGTGTTTGTGTGGGAGCTGCCATTGTTGTTGTGCTCACTGTGTCAAAGGTGGTTGATTGAGTTGTCAAACTTGAGGAACTTGTTGTGAAGGCTTCTATGGCGTACAAGGTATATCTGTAAAATTGAACAAAGGTTTGTGTGGTTTAAGTGGACAAAAATCAAATTTCACATTATTTGCTTTTAAGGCTAAAGATACAAACTAAATTTGTGTGCAGCTAATCTCAGCCTTTAAATGAGAAGTATTTGTAAAGTGCAGTCATTTACCAAGTAGACAGATTTTTGAGTACAATCCCAGAGAGAGAGGAAAACTCAAGTATTATTCATCACAATAAGTGGTCAGATTTTCCCCACTGCATCAGAATAAATAAAATGTGACTGATGGTGCTTGTTTTATACTAAATTATCAAACCACCAAAAGTGTGTTAATGTGTTGGGGTGATTTTTCTTTTTTGTGCATGAGCTTAGAAAAACTAAAAACCATGTTTCACTAACGATCAACAACAGATACCCGGTGAATATTTAATCAAAAGACGAGATCATGATGAAGCCATTCACTTTTTTTTTTGAATCCAGAGACTTTACCTGCATCGGTCTATGTTGCTGCCGGCAATGGCATCAGATGTGTAAAAGCTCTTCCGTTTATTCATTTCAATTACTTCAATGCAGCCAGTATAGTTGTGGAAAGGTTTCGCTCTCTAAAAAAAACACCCAAAAAACAATGGTTTATTCAGACAACTCATTGATTTTAGCAGTTCTTTCCTACCTTTTACAGTTTTAGTTATAGGCTTTTATTGTGAACCACCTACTACATGCTACTGACAAATGCAGTATATAGTGTGTAGTACATACTGTATAGTACAGGCTACATTTTTATCAAATCTGTATGTAGTGCGGTTTTAAATACAGCTTATTTAACATTAAATTTTTAGCATTTATGTCTTTCAGAACCTTATGATATCAGCAGGTAGTAGATAAACCACACAGTACTTACCTGATTGGGTATATATTGTTCTGGCAGACCACCTGTAAAGACGTGGTTTATTCTTTGCATCATGTGTCCCAACCAGTAATTACTTGCTGTACTTTTGATTTTCTTATGACCAGAAAGCGTTAGCTCTGCTTCACAGGGGGTCAGATGTTGTCTATAAAAAGAGTGTGAACATGTCACGTCAACAGTACAACAACCACAGGTACACAAGTTACTGTTCTAAATTTAATGTTTTCAACATGACATTTGGTGTTGAGAAGAAGTGTGTAGTACCAAGGGATCATTATTTCACATAAGCACACAAGTCTCTGGTCTCTGTCTTTGGAAACTTAAGTTTAAGAGTAAAGTGCTTTTGTGGCCTTGATTAGGATATATATATATTCCCCATTACGCCAAAGAAAAAAAAAGGATTCTCAAACTATTAAGAGCAGGACAAATTCCTTTGAGGTGAACTACTGTGATAGACACTGGCAACTTCAACTTGCAAATATAAAAAATACATTTTGTTGATATACATAAAAACTTGGCGAAATAAAAGTTCTGAAATCGTGTGAAATACTGAACACTGAGATTTAAAAACTGTGGTAAATGCGTGTAATTGTTTTGTTTACTCTGTTGATGCATTCATTAATCACAATCCTTTTCTGAGGTGCTACCGCTGAACTCCATTTTGTTTTCTCTAGGTATCTTATGTGCCTTCACACAACTATTTTGGACCCACCCCACAGCCATTCATAGATTTCAAAAACCAATTCTCCACTTTGAAACAACAGGGGAGAGCAGATAATTACCTAAGTGCAGATTCTGGACTAACCATCTGCAGCTTGAGGGTTCTCAGGCCACAGATGCACACTCTCCTCTCCAGTGTCTCACGATACCCCTTGTTCCCTGAGCGGAAGTTAGGAGGTCCACAAAGCAATCTAGTCTGATTTGTTAAGCCTGTACTTTGCAGGCTGTTGCATATGCCGGCTAAACACTCGGGGCACTAACTCCGAGCTGCATAAGTCCTTCCTCTAGAGCCAGTGTGGAGAAGCGGTTAATTTAGAAGCAGTCTGCCAGAGCGGCCTGGCCAGCAGCCAGAGGGCACTGTGCTCACTGTCCTTGAGAAGTCAGCCCCACTGGGTTTCTATTTAACATATTGAAAAGCGTCTTTGACGGGAAGATATATTAAAAGTCTATAATGAGTTAGGCGGTGACGTTGAGGATGGCCATGGTGTTGTAGCTCTGGGTCAAATCAGACAAAGATGGACGGACTCGGCCATCAGACAATTACAAAGAATTTGCTTTGTGACACCAGGAACCATTTTTCCATACTCCCAACCCTCTAGTTATGACAGCTCTCTTTCTTGCAATGTCTCCAAGGGGTTGGTACAGAACATTATGATTGATTCGTACTGCTGTTGTATTTTTCTTGCAGAAAAAAAACAGAGGTGGAGCCTCATAGTCCTTAAACCTGATAGGCCTTTCTAGATGCACTTGCATATTTAGGGCAGTGCAGCTTTCTGCCAAGAAACATGAGGCAACCTTCCCACTCAGCTTTGCTTGGACAGGAAATAATTTGCTCACCTTTGGCACAGTTTGTTCATAATCACCTGGAGTACCTTTCCTTTTATCTGTATCTGTATCAGTATCTGTTCTTCTATATTATAATCTTCAGCAAAGCTTAATTCAGTTCTTTTTCATTCTCTCAATCTCAAGCTTTTAGATCAGAGTAACAAAAAAGAACAGTGTTTTACAAATTATCATCTTTGTCAAAAAAGAACTACTTAAAAAAAACATGAAATGGCCTCTTTGCATTTAAGCAGAGAGTATAGGGACTTTATTTAACAACAAGTAAACCGATTTTAAAGCGAGCTGAACATTAGCCATTTTGCTTCAGCTTCCAGCTCATACATAATAAACTTTGTGTCTTGAAACTAAACCACAATCTTTCTCATGTCAGAATATAATGGAGAGGGCTGGCAGCAAGATTGCACATAGGCTTAGGAACAATATAACTAAAGGGGCCACAGCCTCACTTTAAATCATTTAAACATTGATTTTGTGCTCAGCTCTTGCTTGTTAATCTTTTCGTAATGAAAAACTGCAAATGAAGACTTCAGAACAGCCAATAAAACATGGTCAGTGATCACTAATGCATTTTAATAGGCACATTCTGACGTTTGTTTTAGTTCTTTAAAATGTAAGCCCATTTGCCCATTCGTAATAAAATCTAAATTCTCAGCCTGGTGATTTCTGCCAATTATATATCCTCCCCCGGTATTAGTTACAGCCCGTCTCTAAAAAAAGTCTGCTGTACTTGAAATGAGTGGATAACCAAGGATCAACTTAATACCACCTGAGGTGCTAACACTATTCAAACAAAACTGGTATATTACTAAGTAGCTTATCGTGAATGTGCTTCTATTTTCTCAATAGAAATATTCATGCCTGAAAGAGATACTTAACACATTGCATTTGGGGTTGATGTCTTAGTTATTAATACACCCTGTAAATTAAAAGCTGTAAAATTAAATTGTAACTGTTTTACTTACTTTTTTCTTACATTGCAGCTGCATTTCTTTTTCTATACACAAGCTGAATATGAACTGACCACAACGCAGATCTGAATGTTCAGATCTGCATTGTGGTCAGTTCACAACACCCAGCTTCACAAGGTTAATTCAAAATGTAAAAAAAGAACTTACCTGATATTAACAATGTGAACCTTGCCATCATTAACATGAATTAATGTACTGATCTGTGTAACCTCTTCCTCTTCGTTGCAGGAAAAGGCATACTGAAACAGAGAGAGTTTAAAGACTATTATATGAACTGTATAATCTGACCATGCAATAGCTAACTTTGGGCAAACATGAGGAAGACTGATGTAGTGAATGCATTATAACTACTAAACTTGAGTTTTTACCTGCAAGAGTCCATCCAGGATGAAGAGTTTCATGAAGAAGAAATCACTGTTAGCAGGTCCTTGGTCCACATAAAGTATAGTTCCCTGGGCTGCCCGAGTTTGAAATCTCACAGTAATGTTGTTGAGTGTGCTGAGGTCAAAACCCTCAAACTCCAGGTATGAATTCCCAAAGTACTGAACGTAGCTTGAATCTAGGAAATAAAAAAATATCGAAATCTGAAATGTGGGGAAAAGGGTAAACAAAAGCAAAGACAGACTGCAGTTTATGCATCTTTACAGTAAATTCTGCTGAGATTCTCTATTGATCCCTGAAAGAAGAATTCAACTTTTCACTCACTTCCTCCACAGGGAGGTCAGTGCACTGGGTGAGATACAGAACAGCAACCTCAGAATTATTAAAGATTCACAGTCTTCTGGCTAAGGACACCTCAGCAGGGTAGATTCTTATTGCTACTGAGTCTTGAACATGGACTTTCTTTTCCTTTGTTACTCTGCTGTTTCACACACTACTGTTGCTGCATAAAATGTACCGTGCCGTGCACCGGCCCGCACTTTACGCTGAATACGCAATTGCGTAGGACCTCACAAATCATGTCAGTCGATAGATCATGTCAGTGGATGGATTTGATTAGCACAGGTGCTGCAGCAACTGTCTAATTAATCATTATGCTGCTAAGGTATGATAAGCTGGTTTAAAAAAAAAAAAAAAGTATGTAAAAAAAAAGTGCTGCATCCAAAAGGTAAGTATTTCTCTGGCACTGCCAAGAGGAAAATAAAGCAAATGAAGACAGACAGCAGAAGTTCTAATTCGAGGGTGTGTGTTTTGCGTTGTGTAGCAGTGATGAGCAGTTTTCACAGAATCATTTCCTTTGAGGTGACACATGTAAATGTATCAAAGTTTTGATAATATTTCCAAAATATAGTTTATATAGTAGTTAGTTTTCTCCATGACACTCCATTATAGTACATGCACGTTTGACAGCTAGTGCTGCCTGCCCTGCAAACTTCACTTCTTCAAATACATTACCGATCATCATGTATACACAGATCAGCCATAATAATGTTATGAACCCCCTGTGCACCAAACTGCAATGCACTGTAAAGGTGAAAATTAACTTTTTCAGCAATTTGAGCTACACTAGCTTGTCTGTATGATCGGACCACACGGGCCAGCCTTCACTCCCCATGTACATCAATGAGCCTTGGCCGCACATGAACTTCGTCTGTTCACTTTTCCTTCCTTGGACCACTTTTGAACACTTTTGTTTGTGGGGAACACCCCACAAGAGCTGC